TTTTGTGTACTTTTTGTTGCATTTATATCCTTGAGATGGTCGCCATCAATGGTTGACAACTTAATGGTTGCCATTTTTTAGTTTTCTATAATATTATTATTATGATATATTCTGTTCGGTAGGGAGGAAATTTCACTGACATCCACTACGTGTACTTGCTGTCTTAAGATCCTAATAAAATGTCCACTAAGAAATTCATTGTTTTCATTGACTCCATATTCTCAAAAATTTGTAATGGTTTATAGCACTGTAAATGTAATAATTCTAAATACATCATCAGTACAGGACTGTTTCATTGCCACTTATTTTGATTCTATATCTTTCTGAAATTTGCAACAAAGCGACAGAAACAATTTTACATACATGTACATGTATAGTACATATAAGCATGGATGTACTAAGTACTAGTACATCCATGATATAAGTATAACAAAATATACACACAGATCAACACACACACAACAGTATTGTAGCTTCTGTACGCCCAACTCTCAAATACACAAATACAGGGGTAGAGGTAGAGCTAGGAATGGGAATTACAAACAAAATTCTTTCCCACTGTCAATTTTGAACCAGTGCCTGTAGGAAATTTTAAGCAAATATAATTTCTAAATATGAATAGACTCAAAACTGAAAAAGTTAAAATATGTGTACACTGTGCAAGCATCAATTGCTAATCCAGAAGACACAGCAAAATATGGAAGTGAATGTAAACACACAAACTGATGCTGCTGCATAGTCTGATGATGACAATAAATTAAAACTTTTCCTAAACAAAGTTTAGACCTTTACGTTTGTGCAGGTTATTTCCAGTGTTTTAAAAGTATACAAATGTGTAACTACCATAGTATTTGATCTGGCTATAGACAGTGATGTTTTAAAAGTATACAAATGTGTATCTACCATGGTATTTGATCTGGCTATAGACAGTGGTGTTTTAAAGGTACACAAATGTGTAACTACCATAGTATTTGATCTGGCTATAGACAGTGATGTTTTAAAGGTACACAAATGTGTAACTACCATAGTATTTGATCTGGCTATGGACAGTGGTGTTTTAAAAGTATACAAATGTGTACCTACCATAGTATTTGATCTGGCTATAGACAGTGAT